AAAAGATTACTATAAAGCATTTAAACTTGGGTCTAATCCAAAGAACTCTACATGCTAATCCATTCATATCCCCCATACTTATAAATCTCCTAGGATAGATAGATTTTTATATATCAATTCAGTAGTATGAAATAAAGTGCTACTATATGAAGTTCAAGAAATAACTTTAGCATTGAAAATTTTGACCTACACTACAGATTACAGTAAGAATGAATGACTTTAACTCCCTACAGGATAGTAAAAGAGAGGTGCCACAGAATCCCAGAATTGGGCTGAAATTTTCGTGTCCAGGAAGGCAAATAACTAGAACACTGTAATTCAAGAGTAAAAACAAAAAGGCTTCTTTTCTTAACAGGTAAAATGGGTTCAATCATAACTATAGTGGACTTGAGGAAACCATAAATCACCACCTATTTGGGGTCTATGATTGTAAGCAAGCTGAGTATCTTTGATGCTTTTATGATAATCTCATTTAGCAGTATGGCATTTTTTAAATTAAGGTTATCACAAGTAACCCATGCGAAATTTTGGAAATACCTGGGCATGAGGGGACCTGACATTGATTCTCACACAAGTGGAACAGACTTAGCAAAGGGAGATGGCATTTTATGGTTAAGGTATTTATTTAAATAAAGATTTTACTAACTATCCTGTAAAGGGAAATGAATGATTCTTTTTTTTTAAAGTTGGAGGAATGGAAGCAGGAGTCAAAATGATGAAGACCCCATTGAGTCAAGTTTAATGAGTGATAAACAAATACTACATTTGAAAGAAACTGTGGAATAAGTTAATCATGCCTAGAGAAACTGACTTAAATATATATATAGGGTTTTTGTGTTTTTGTTGTTGTTGTTTGTTGTTCAGTTGAATGAACAAATCCATGAGCATGTAAGACACCACTGGTGTAAATTAGAATGGGGTTTAGTGGTCTTATCTATTCAGAACACAGAATAAAAAGGCAAAATCATTGATCTGTCAGCACCCTCTGCACATAATTACAGTTGTGAATCTTAGGCAGTTTTCTGGCTTCATCAAAGTCACATTCTCACAACAATGACCTCATTTGTGGCTGCCAGTGACAAAGCCTGAGAACATTCCTTCATGGTAAATACATACAGCAGAACATTTACCTTCTCCTCAAACACCTTTCCATACGCTAAAAGAATTCAATTATTTTACAATTACAATGGGTATGCACAAATTTCCTTGAAATTTTCAATTTGAGCTAAAAGTAAAATGAAAAAGAATGCATATTTATATAAATAAAAGTTGATTTTTCTTCTACAACTGCATTGTTTATAATGAAGTGGAGGACACACTTTCCCTGGTCTTCTTCTCAATTCTTCACTGACCCTTTTTTAAAAAAGAGTATCTTTAAAATCGAGTCGCAATTTTCTAGTAACATTTAAAAGATACATTCATTTTCTTTACAGCATGAAAGACATACAAATATTTTATCTTTTTTAAACAATGAAGTAAAAGAAGTTAACAGTCTCATTCTTTAGACAATAGAAAAATATTTTCTATACCATTTGCACAACAATAGATGGGAAAATTACTACAGTGTTGAACTGAAACTTTTATGAGCATAACATTTCCAATCATTTTTATCTTTGTATTGAAAATTTTAAAGGTTACAGGAAATTAAAATTCCCACCTAAATTGGCAGTCTTTAAACTTACAATACTGCTAATACCATTCACTCGTAAACTGAAAAAAGAAATTGACTTATACAACGAACTATAGCTAGTCAATGCTGATGCAGTAGATATTTTCTGAGTGTCCATTTAGCTTGGATTATTAAAATAAAAATGACTACAAAACTTCAGAAATTAACAGTGACTGCAATAGAAAAAAACATAAATAAATAGCAGCAAATTTAGATATGGAAACAAATAACTATTTAAGATCTACCTATAACTTCAAGATTATAAAAATAAAATGTCTAATTTTTGATAAATAGGGCTTCTTTTTGACAACATCTAAAGACTTAATGGTAGTAGTTGCTACTAAAAAGGAATGAAGTCTGTATGTAATAAAAAATTGTGTTGCAGACACTATAAAATAATTTGAACACAACAATTTAAGGATTCACTTCATGGGCTCTTTATACAATTGCTGAAATTACCTAGTATCAGTTAGCTCTCAAAAACATTAATTATGTAAATTCCTTTGCAACTATACAATCGTTAAAGAATTTCATAAAACACTTGCTACAATTTGTATTGTGATCATCACACTGAAACACTAACAAATATTTGCCAACAGATTAGTAATTCTGATATTTGATAAAAAATAATCTAGTGGGTTTTAATAACATAACTATTTTACTTGGAGGAAACATAACACACACAAAATGATTCCAGAAATTGTGAATGCACAGTTGAAACAAATGTAGAATAAGCAATGTTAATATAATGTAGTTAAACTTTATAGTTGTAGTTGATGTGGTAGCTTATATAAAAGCAAGCTCTGGCAAAATTTATCTTTGTCTTGTCATATTATTAAGAGACATTGATTCCAACAAATATTTACCATAATTTACTCTAAGTGACTTTAAATGCAAATTTACCTGAACTACAGTATAATTACTACAAAATAAGAGATGTAAACAATATTCCACATTATTGTGGTATAAATAATTTTTATGAATTCAAAACTACTTTGGCAACCTTATCATCAGAACATCTTAAATATTCAAACACAAACATTAAATAGGACATTATTAAAAATGTTGTTTCCTTCTCCCTTTCTGATAGTATTATAAAACAAGAAATGCTTTAATTATACTACATGTTCACATGAACATAAATATTTTGATTATAAGTGGACATATACTCTAAATCTTATTTCTATGTTTTAAGTGCTTTTAAAAATTAGTCTTCTAATTTGCATTTCAGAATGTTTTCATATTGTATGTATATCAGCATAAATACTTTACAAAAGCTTATGTCCTATTAGGGAAGCATGGTTAGCAAACTGAGTCAAAGGTCCTAATTAGGATCACTTTTAAAAAACTACTTATTTCCTAAATTAAGTAACATCTAAGGTACTCATAATGATTAAGTAAAAACACTGCCTGAGTATAATTCTTGCACTGAAACAGACTAAAATTCACAAGAATTTATGATATTCATATACATTGCCTATATTAATAGAGGCTGACATGGAGTAGATCTTTGAAGTTACTTTCAGCTCTCAAATTATAATACTGCTAGAGAACTTTTACTTAAATACCTGATTAGGCCCAATAAGATCTGAGAAGAGATTATGAACAATTCTGTAATTAAAATAACCCTTTACCCCAGTTTGTTAGCATTAGTCTTTCTGTGACACACATTCAATAAACTCACAAAAGTATCTCAGGGTATGTATGTTTGTACTTGAAATCTTCAAGCAAGTGTCTTAATGGCTGAACAGGCCTTTTGCAGTCAGTTTTCATCTATGAATTTTTTGTTATATCAAAATGAACAACCCTTCCCCTCTACCCTTCCGCGTGTAGCAGCAGGCCATATAAAGGAAATAGTATGGCTGTTTGCTTCAATTTTGAATGGACACACTGGTTAAACACTACCAATTTTTCTTGTGAATGTAAAGTCTATTCCAAAACACTTTTCATCCTATATACAAAGTGCTGACACAAATCAGATGCTCAATAAAATATTTGAAATGAACATGATAAAACCATCTTAAATCAGAGAGGAAGGATTTCCACATTTCTCAGCATTTAAAAAAAGTCCCATTGATTTACCAATATCTATTTCCATTTGAGTGTGTTTGTGTGTGGGGTAGGGGGGTAAGGTAGGGGGGGGAGGGAAGGGTAGCTGGGGGAGGACAGCCATTTGAAGATCACAAATTTGGCATTTTTAAAAATCACACTATTACACTGATATGAATCAAACCTAGAATTACCTGGTGTATATTAAAGCTAGACTTATTTCTAGAACACTAACTATATTGATACGTAGTTTAAAAAATTCTCAGGTGTAATGGATAATTTTTTCTGTTGGGTAAAATGAGTAGTATAATTAGCATATTCATTTCAAGAAGTAGTTAAGGATAATTTATTTTAAATTTAAGATGCTAATAAGTATGCCTTTTTGAAAAGGATCTTTTCTATACATAAAAATACGACAGGATAACTCCCAGATGAAAAAGTCATATACGATTAATTCAAATTTAATTCTTAACATCTAGTATATTATCATTTAAAGACTGGCATTAATGATTTAAAAAGGCAGCAGGGCTCACTGCCAACAAATTACTAAGAGTTAATCTCAGAAATGTAAACAAATACCTAAATGAAATTAAAGAACCATCTCTTTTGTCTGTTTATACCTATACAATGTGTACTTTTTTTACCCACTTTGTGGAATTTATCCACATTCTGTACATATAGTTGGAACAAATTTTCTTTTTTAGTTCAGGTGAAAAACAACTGCCAAAACAGTTATTAATATAGAGGCCCCCCCCCCCAAAAGTGGTTTCACTTTCAACTTATCATGATGTCATATAGCAGCCTAAATTGTATTTATCTGTTAGTAAAGAATGGAATGTTCAAATAAGATTATAGTATAAGAACTGTCTTGACTGTGAAATGCCGAAATAAGATTAAGAGAATTTCTCTTTGACATAAAGGTTATGTTTACTTTTCTCTTAAAAAAAGAAAAAACTTAAAATAAAAATACTTTAATACAATAATTTATTTGGTATCTTTGCTATAGTGTTTAGGAACTTAACTTCCTAAAATTTATTATTATGAATTTTGGATATCTGAAATAATATCATTTAGATTATACTTAAGATTTTAAAATGTACATTTTACCCATCATATTAAATGGCATTCCAAAATATCTACTACTCAATTCTAAATTTAATCAAGACTATACAGAAATATTCATAAACCACTAGTAAATGAATCTATTTTAACCATAATCCATATAAAATTATTGTGTGATATAACATTTCAATAGATGAGCAAATTTCCACTTATACTGAAACTGGGCAATTTTAAAGTTCTATCTCTCTGTAGATTTAAAAGTTTTAAAAATATCTGAAGAGGAAAATACACTTCCTCAAAGGGAATTACCTCCCCATCAAGCTGGACAATTAAAACTCTCCATATTAACATGCTTATAACTTAATAAGTACATATAAACTGGAGTAATTTAATTGTACATGAAAATGTCAAGAAAACCCTCATTTCAGTTATTGAGGATTACTTTTGGAAATAAGTCAGTAATGTTTCATTCCTCATCTGAAGGATCCCAAGAAGCCAGTATGAACAAAGCTTGATTGAATTGAAAAATGCTGAAGAGTAATAATTAATGACAGAAATAAACCACAAGTAACTGCTTTACCTTTAGCTTAAAGTATCATGTTTCACTTTAATGTGCGTTATTAGATGCCATTTCTAAATTAGGGATAAAATAAATATGAAAATTGGAAGAATAAAGCATCTTAACTTGAGCTGCTAAATTGTAACCCTTGTACCTTGGGAAAACAATGTGCAGATACTGAACCATATAATAGCAGCAGACTGCTCATTCAGTAGAACACAAATTGTCCCTGCTGCTTATGGCAAAATGTAGGGATTGGTAACAAAATTTCCTTACCCTTCTTTGACTGCCTAACTCTTAATACAAGAAATTATCTTAAAAAAAAGTGAACTGATTCAAAATGCATAAAAATGTAAATGTGTAATATACATACATACCTCTTAGTGGGGTCAAAATGAGTGCCTTTTTATTAGACATAGAGAGATGTCTCAAGGCACTTAAGGGGTTAAGACACAATGCATGCATTCCTTTACATCAAGTATGTGAAGTCACATGATTTGGAATAAGCCAACCTTATGATAAATATAAGTTACATTATTAAATCCAAGAAAATTTGTAGATTCATATTTATACTTTCTATAAGATGCTGGTAAATGGACAATCTGCAGCATTTCCTGGGAAAAGCAAATTCCACCTTTCTTCTTATGAACAGCAGGTCTCTACAGGGGGAGTTTAGGGAAAGATGTGCTGCATCCATAGGCAGTGTATTGGCTAATATTGAGAATGATATTGCTAAAATTTAAAAAATAAAATCTGGTAATCAGCATAGTAAGTACATGGATCACTGGGAAACACCAGAGCTGACTCCTGATGTTTACTTCTTTTTGCTTTCAAGATACAGGTGTGTAACAGAGATGATGAGAATTCTGAGCCTTGTTTGTGGCAATTCTACCGGAAGGGGACTACATGGCACCAACACAGAATTTCATAAATTACCCTGAACATACTCAGTTATTCACTATTTGTTCGGAGCAAAGCATGAAATAGTCTTCAAACACGAGTTATAGATTTTGAGAGAGTGACATTTTTTTTTTAAACATAAAGTGCAACAGTGCTGAAGTTTTCAGTTTTTGTGAGTTCTTCATTTTTTTTTGTTGTTGGGATGCCATTTCCTGCAAGCAGTATTATGGCACAGTAAATAAAATGGAAAGTAGTTTTCCTAAACATATTCCAGACTTTTTGCTTTCTTATTTATTTGATGATGTTGTTAAGGGTTTAACAAATCCTTCTTCATAAACTTTCAAAATAGCTTCACATACAAATCTGTATTGACTCTGAAAAATAAAATATAAAAAAAGAATTTATGAGAAAATGAAAAAAAAAAAAAACACAAAACCATCCCACTTGGCTTGCTTCTAAAAGAATGTAAAATAAGAGACAGTTGAGTCACCATTTTTCACTGACAGAATGGCAAAAATAAAAGTTAGTAACATATTTTGCTTGTAGAACTCACAATTTTCTAGTAAGAATGCAAACTACTACCAACCCTATCATGGGAATTGGGCAGCATGTAACAAAATTACACTAATTTACATAGTAACCAAACAATTTCATGTCTAGGAAATCAACCGCCAAAAAATAGCTAGGAAAAAAAAAGTTGAAAACATATTCAGGAGAGGCTTTTCACTGCTAGGTTATTTATATTAACAGAAGTGAAAATATCCAAAAAGACTAGATGAGTAATTTGTGGTATCTCTTCACAAAGGGAGATTACTTAGTGGGGGAAGAAGGAAAGGAAAAGAAAGGAATAAATTCTTTATTAAAAGATTCTGGGTTATTTTGTAAAAAAAAAAAAAAAATCAAAGAAATACAAACCCTAACCTTTATAAAAGAAACGTGGGAAAGACAATGATGTAATTATCTCTGTGTGTGTGTGTGTATGTGTGTGTGTGTATATATATATGTGTGTGTGTGTGTATATATGTTAATTTCCTATAAAGGAAATGAGGGAATAAGAGTGCAGAAGAAGAAAAGTAGAAACTAAAATTAGATTGAATAACTCTTCCTTCTTCTAAAGATTTTTCTTTGGAACGCATCCTACAATTAGAACATTTTTTTTAATCTCTATAAATTAAAAAGCACAAAATGGATCTATGTATATTTACTATACATGAAATAACCACAAAGAGCATGGCTGTTTCAAAGTACTTTGCGTAGTAATATCAGTGCGTATCTCTCATTAAATTAGCCAAAAAGTTAAAAGAACAGTGGAAAAAATTGAAAATACTTTTCAGTAATCACACTATTGGTGGTAACAGTATGTTTCACCATTTTGAGACTACTGCAGTCCAGTGAAATAAAACAAAGGGGTACTTGTATTAAGTCTTTAGTTGTGCATAATACAGAGAAAAAGCTTTCTCGTTAAAGAAGGAAGGAGGTGACTATGTAAGGTAAGAGACGTTAAGTAAAAGCGCTTGTCCTGCATGTGGACTGGAAGTGTGGTGTTAACTCTTAAGTTTGTTTCCTGGCAACTGAAGATTTCTGAAGACAAATATTAACCTAGGAGTAATAAAAACCTTTAGTATTCAGAAAGTCTTCCTAAAATAACTTCTCAAGAAAAAGGAAATTGGGAAGGAAACACTGATTCTAAATTTGGGGGAAGTAAAGTACAAGCTGGGTGGCCTCCTGGTAGAGCAAAGGGTCAGGACACAGCACTGCAAGCTAGCTGCAGACCCGCCCGCTGCTCCCTTCAGCAGTGTGCTTTGTCCATCTGCCTGTTCCTCGGCTCTGTCTCTGGTGAAGCCTCTCACTCACCACACCTCTGGCCTACACTCCAGTTCTGTATGAATAAATAAATAAATAAATCTTTAAGGGAAAAAAAAAGAAATGTACAAGCTGGGGCCTGAACATCTTTACTGAAAAGGATGTTATCAAAGTTAGTAGGGGCTTGACAAAAGAATCAAGAACCAAACTGAGTAAGTTCCCACTGGCCAAAAATAAGAAACTTTACAATATTAAGAAAAATAACTGGGTTGACACATATTACATATATTTAAGTTATGATTACAAAATAATACCAAAATAAAAGCAATAATCAAAAAGCAAATGGTTTGCTATCTCTTTTTGTATATATATGTATATATGCACACACAACATTTACATATAGAGTTTATCTTGCCTTTCCTACATAGACTGTACCACCAGTTAATTAAAGAAATCAAAGAGTAGATGAGAAGTTTCTCTTTAAAGAAAGATTTGAGCTAGTTAAATAAATAAATAATAGAATATCATATTTTGGTAAGCCCGATGAATTGATGATGCTTTGATCACTCAAGTGTGATAAACATTTGAAAAAGACAATCTAACACTATGTGCCTCTTGATGGAATAAACTAGAACCACCCAAATTGCTCAAGCCTATAGATCCATTTACCACATTCAGAAAATACAAAGAACACCATATTGGGTATTTTGCAATCAGCAAAATCCACACTGTGAGGAACTGTGTAGCACAACCTAGTTTATCAAATATACTGCAAAGAAAAAAAGAAAGAAATGTAGAGGAATTTATACATTAAAAAGATTCAGAAGACATATAAACCAATTAAAATGTGTGGACCATATATTAATTTTACACAAATGGTAGAAACAAACACTACTTATGTATGACATGCTCCAACAATATGACTTCTAGGGGCGTATCTTAAAGAATTGAAAGCAGGGTCTCAAAAAGATTTTTGTACGTCCCTCTTCACAGCAGCATATTCATAAGTCAAAGGGTAGAAATAATCCAAATGTCCATTCACAGATGAAAGGATAAACAACATGTAGTAAATAAACACATGAAGTATCTTTCAGTCTTAGAAAGAGGTATAAATAATTCACTTAGTTTGCTAAGTGAGTTAGAGTCAGTCATAAAAACGGCAAATACTGTATAAGTTCACTTATTTGTAGTATCTAGACTAGTCTAGGTTATAGAAATGGAAAGTAAAATGGTGTTTGCCAAGGTTTGGGAGAGAAAGTTGTTCTTTAATTGTTACAGAGTTTTGAACATGAAAAAGTTCCAGATATTGGTTATACAATAGCATGAATATACTTAACATGACTGAATAGTACACTTAAAAATGGTTAGGGTGACAAATTTTACATTGTATATTTTACAGCAATTAGAAATAGAAAGAATTATGTATCATGTCCAAATGAGTTTATCTCTGGAATGCAGGGGTTGGTTTAACATCCAAATATCAATCATTGTAACATATGATATATTAATCATATAAAAGGAAAAAACAAAAAACCACGGTCATATTGACAGATGCACAAAAGCATTTGGGGCACAACTATGAAAGTACTGAACAAACTAGTGACAAAGGGAAGTTCCTCAACCTGATAAAGGGTATTTATGAAAAAGCTAACATGATACTGGTGAAAAACTAAAAGCTCACCTAAAAGCAGGAAAAAAAAAATAAGAATCTGACTTTACAACTTCTATTTAATAAGCTTCACAACTTCTATTTAAAACTGTAGTAGAAGTACCAGCAGGACACTGAGAAATGAGGGGAAAGAATGGGGAAGAAAAAAAAGGTACTCTACATTGAAAAGACAGGAAGTAGATTATCTCTAGTTGTATATAACATGATCTTGTATTTTTGTATACAGAAAATCATAAGAAATCCAGTTTCATATACACAAAAACTTTTATAGTTAGGTAGTAAATGATTTCAACAAGGTTGTGAGATACACGATTAATCAAGAGAGTAAATTTTTATTTATACCCCAGAGCAAAGAATAGACTTAAAATGTTAAGTAAGGAGCAATAAGACAGGAAAAAGGCATACAAGGAATCCAAATAGGGAAAGAAGAAGTAAAACTATCCTTATTTGTTAATTTACATGGAAAACCCTAAAAACTCCACAGAGGAACTAATCAAAGCCATCCACCAGTTTAAGCAAGGTAGCAGGATATAAAAACACACAGAAGTCAGAGGTTTTCCTATACACAAACAACCAATCAGAAGAAGCATAAATAAAAAAACAAATCCCTTTTCAATTAAAACAACAAGAATCAAATACCTGGGAATCAACCTAACAAAAGAGGCATAAGACCTCTACAAAGAAAATTACAAAACACTGTTAAAAGAAATACAAGAAGACACCATGAAATGGAAAGGCATCTCCTGCTCATGGATCGGGAGAATTAACATCATGAAAATGGCCATCCTGCCAAAAGTAATATATAGATTTAATGCCATCCCAATAAAAATCTCAATGACACTCTTCAAAGAAGTAGAAAAATGTTGATGAGGTTCATATGGAACAACAAAAGACCTCAAATAGCCAAAACCCCCATGTCTAAGAAAAAACAAAATGGAGGCATTACAATCCCAAACTTCAAGCTATACTACAAAACCATAATAATCAAAACTGCATGGTACTGGAATAAGAATAGACATACAGACCAGTGGATAAGAATAGAAAACCCAGATATAAACCCACAAGTTTATGGACAGCTAATTTTTGACAAAGGAGCAAAGAAGATACAATGGAACAAAGAAAGTTTGTTCAGCAAATGGTGCTGGGAAAACTGGGAAGCTACATGCAAAAAAATGAAACTAGATCACTGCCTCACTCCAGTCACAAAAATCAAATCGAAGTGGATTAAGGACCTAGACATAAGAACGGAAACCAGAAAATACCTGGAAGCAAAGATGGGCCAAACACTACATGACATACACTTCCACTTATTGTGGCACCCAATGCCACAATAGTGAAGGTAAGGATAAATAGATGGGACTACATCAAGTTAAAGAGCTTCTGTATAGCAAAAGAAACACTACAAAAAATAAACAGACAGCCCACTAACTGGGAAAAAATTTTCTCACACAAAAGCAGTGATAAAGGACTGATCACAAAAACATACAGAGAACTGACGAAGCTCAACAAAAATAAACAACCCTATCAAAAAATGGGCAGAAGAGCTAAAAAGACACTTCTCCAAAGAGAAAATGCAAATGGCCAATAAATATATGAAAAAATGTTCAACATCACTTGTAATAAGGGACATGCAAATTAAAACCACAATGAGATACCACCTCACCCCAGTGAGAATGGCACATCTTCAAA